AAGAGACCTCCAAGATCATCGAGTCCAGCCTCTAACCTAACACTAACAGTACCCACTAAACCATATCCCTAAGCTCTACATCTAAACGTCTTTTAAAGACCTCCAGGGATGGTGACTCCACCACTTCCCTGGGCAGCCTGTTCCAATGTCTAACAACCCTTTTGGTAAAGAAGTTCTTCCTAAAATCCAACCTAAAACTCCCCTGGCGCAACTTTAGCCCATTCCCCCTTGTCCTGTCACCAGGCACATGGGAGAACAGGCCAACCCCCACCTCTCTACAGCCTCCTTTAAGGTATCTATAGAGAGCGATAAGGTCGTCCATGAGCCTCCTTTTCTCCAGGCTGAACAAGCCCAGCTCCCTCAGCCGCTCCTCGTAGGACTTGTTCTCCAGGCCCCTCACCAGCTTCGTTGCCCTTCTCTGGACCCGCTCAAGCACCTCCATGTTCTTCTTGTAGCGAGGGGCCCAAAACTGGGCACAGTACTTGAGGTGCGGCCTCACCAGAGCCGAGTTCCAGGGGATGATCACCTCCCTAGCCCTGCTGGTCACACTGGTTCTTATGCAAGCCAGGATGCTGTTGGCCTTCTTGGCCACCTGAGCACACTGCTGGCTCATATTCAGCTGACTATCAACCATCACTCCCAGATCCTTCTCTGCCTGGCAGCTTTCCAACCACTCGTCTCCCAGCCTGTAGCTCTGCTTGGGGTTATTGCGCCCCAGGTGCAGGACCCAGCACTTGGCCTTGTTGAACTTCATGCAGTTGACCTCAGCCCATCTGTGCAGCCTATCCAGATCCTCCTGCAGAGCCTTCCTGCCCTCAAGCAGATCGACACACGCACCTCAGTTGGTGTCATCTGCAAACTTACTGAGGGTGCACTCGATGCCCTCATCCAGATCATCGATGAAGCTATTAAAGAGGACTGGCCCCAGCACCAAGCCCTGGGGGACACCACTAGTGACCAGCCTCCAGCTGGATTTGACTCTATTCACCACAACTCTTTGGGCCCGGCTATCCAGCCAGTTTCTAACCCAACGAAGCGTGCGCCAGTCCAAGCCAAGAGCAGCCAGTTTCTTGAGGAGAATGCTGTGGGAGACGGTGTCAAAAGCCTTGCTGAAATCAAGGTAGACCACATCCACAGCCTTTCCCTCATCCACCCAGCGCGTCACTTTGTCATAGAAGGAGATCAGGTTCGTCAAGCAGGACCTGCCTTCCATAAACCCATGCTGACTGGGCCTGATCGCCTGCTTGCCCTGCAAGTGCCACGTGATGACTCTCAAGAGGATCTGCTCCATGAGCTTCCCTGGTACTGAGGTCAAACTGACAGGCCTGTAGTTCCCCGGGTCTGCCCTCTGGCCCTTCTTGTAGATGGGCGTCACGTTTGCTAGCTGCCAGTCACCTGGGACCTCCCCTGATAGCCAGGACTGCTGATAAATGATGGAAAGTGGCTTGGCCAGCTCCTCTGCCAGTTCTCTCAGTACCCTCGGGTGGATCCCATCTGGCCCCATCAACTTGTGCACGTAACACAGCTGCTGAAGATACACACTCAGAGACAATTAACTTCTAAGGAGTTTTCTATAAACTAGTATAAATCCATAACCAAAGATTCCAGCATTACTAAAAGATGTTAGTGGACTTTTTTGTTTGTTTGTTTCTTTTTTTGGGGGGGAAGATGAGCAGTTATCTAAGGTTAAAATTGAATGGTGGTGTTTTTTGGTTTGGGTAAGACTGTAGTGCCAGGATGGACTCTGATCTTTGTAGGTGTTCACTGCTTTCAGCAATTCTCTCTTTATTTGTTGCTCCTGAGAACATCAAGAGCAGATCACTTCCTTTTCAATTATTCAGATTTGTTCCTAGTCAACACTTTAAAGAGCAGCCTGAAAAGAATAAAAGAACTGCTCAACCGTGTGAAGCTAGCAGCCCCATGTGCGATGCTATGTTTGGACAAAAACACTAAGAAGCTACTGCTTGCAGTAGTAATGCAGATCTCAGTAATAAACAGTATTTGCTGTAAAAGTGCTTGTATTTCAGGTGTCAAGCTGTACATGCATTGCTTCAAATTTCTGTCACCCAAAGTCAATGTATTTCTAATAAAGACAAATAAGAAAGGAGCTATGCACATAGTCTGTAAGGGATGCAATAGCTTAATCTGACACCAGGCTCAGGAGTATTCCTCAGCAGGTAAATTCTGTAGTGGGAGATGGGAAGAGCCTCGTTTCATACTTCAGCACCACTGCTTCCCTTGATAGCTTTATGTCATGCAGCAGCGGTTTCTTTAGAAGCAAGTGAGCTCTGAAGTGCCAAGTTTAATGCAGGAAACTAACAATCCTGATTGGGGGTGCTCTCTGAAAGCCTACTGGAAGCTGGAAAGTCTATACTGAAAATGGGAGTAATGGCATTCTGCTGCTTTTTAAATACATGAAATAGTTATAGACAAAGAAAAAATATTCTTCCCTTTTTTTCTAACAGAGGCTTTTCTGGTCACTTAGACTTGGCAGTTCCTGGGTCACTTGGAAACAAGCATAATGAAATCCTAATGATAGGAAACTACTACAAAGCCATCTCTGTTTAAAACCTACCCTATATTACGTGCAAAATGACTTCCTTAATCAGTTTTTCCATGGTGAATCTTAGTGATGTGGAACAGCTACTACGGTGCAAGTGTGGTGTTCTGTTTTATTTTTGTCAGTGGGAGGGATGAATTGTGTTATGTTAGTACTGATAAAATGAATTTAGTCAGGAAAGCCTGACTGACAGTGGGAGAAACAGTGCCTGTCACTGCCACATAAGTGTGCTATGATTTTGGAGTCCTTGCTTAATGGCTTCATACTATTTTTATTCAAGTTAAGAGCAGTCACCTTGCATTTTAACAGATTTAAGAGATCAATAAAATCAAGAGAAAGCTAGCCTTTGCCTCATGGTCTCAATCAGCAATATTTACAAGTCAAGTTATGAACAGCAGAAGTAACCCCTTTTTTTTTTCCCCCTTTGATATATTAGCCTTACAAAATGAAATTAGATTTCAATATAAGATTAAAAGATTCTGAAGTAGTAACTCCAAAATCTGATTTTAACAGGCTGTTCCTTGTGGATTTCAGTCTGTGAACATGGGCCTGTGCTTTTTGTATTACCCAGGAACACCAGAACCAAAATGCATGTTTGTGGATTCTGCTAGGCGGTACCTAAAGGCATGGCTCATAAAACAGCAAGCACACAGATTACAATTGCTTTTTGTTACAGTTCTTCAACTTCTCTCTTACATTAAGTACAGCTTTGCATGGGCAGCTACATTGCTTAGATGAAAGACGGAAGCCAAGAGCCTCACAATGCTTCAATAGTACTAGGAATCAAGGGAGAGCTCAATACAGGTTTTATGCTAAAGCAACTGTGTTGGTTTCCACGTGGCAGATTACCAGTAGTAGAGTACACTGACTTATGTTGTCCTATATTAAAACACACATGGCACTATAGCTATTTCAGTGTTATCAAGACAAGTCTTGTCACCTTGATCCCCTATCAAGATATTACACAGTTAAACCAGTACAGTATGTAAACTCATACAGAATGCATACGGGAGGAATACAGACTGTCAAATCACATCCTATGACTCTTCACAAAACACATCTCTCATCCTTGCAATGCTTCTTATCATTATTACAAAATCATACTCACAAAGCAGCTTAAATTACCTGCATAGAGACTACTATACAAGCCCAAAATAGTCTTACAATTTTATGAACTCTTTGAAAGAGACCAGACAAAAAAGGATTATTCTCAGAAGCATGAAACTAAAAAAGCTAAGGCCACTTGACAGGGTTGAGAGACATAGGCTTATACAAAGACAAGAAGAGGAAAAAGTAATCAAATTCTGATGAAGTTTCCTTGGAGAATCTGACTTTATCCATCTTTGCTTTCCTGCTATGCTCCCATGTGATGCCAGATAAATTGATTGTTATATTTTTAATGGATAGTTTTCAGTTATTTTGCTTAGCTGACAAGTGCCCACTTTGAGGCCTTAGAACCAGATCTCAATAAAATAGTGAATATACACATTTTTCATATGCTCAGTGGAACAAAGACCCTCATACAAATAAGCACTCTAGGTAAATGGATGGGTATAGTCTCAACTCAGTACTTCAACTTACATTCTCTAAGCGAAGCCAAATACTGTCTTATCCATGTTGGCAAAGTAACTGCTAGCTTAGGAAGGAATTGCTAGCTTTGCATTTTAAGAGAGAGGGGAAAAGAAGGTGACATTTCTTTCTGCAAATAGCTCAAAAAGAATCTGTTGGGAATTATCAATCACATTTATCCATGAATATCCAGTCGTAACATACTATCCTAACTCCTGAACTGACTTTGCAATCTTAAAATAACTTCTATGACTATTCAAATACATAGCATTCCCATTAGTTATCTCTGTAAAAGCAATAATGTTAATTTAGCAAGATAAAGCAGTGTACCATAAAATGCAAGTGCTAATATAAGGGAGGCAGCAAGATGCTGGGAGAACAGAAAAGATTGCTCCTTCCAGCAACATGTTAAGACTTGGACCCTCAACCATCTTTCAAAATTAGGGCCCGATTTATTAAAGAAGCATTTACAGAGATGTGATTAAATTAGCCCAAGATAGGAAGAAAGCTAGTTAAGTTTCTAGTACTTAAGATACACACAAAGTAGAGTGATTTAAGTCATATGGAATTTGGACAATTTCACATAACCAAGCCTTGCTTTAAAAGGATTTTTAATAGATGTGGCTTAAAGAACGTTAGCATTTCTCAAAATCTGAAGAATGTCTTTCCTTCTGTGCAAGACACAAGCATTTATCAAAGAATATCAGCTATTACATACCAAGTCACACTAAGGGCAGTTTAGCTCAAGACTTAGTTTCTGAATGGAGTAAGGAACATTAAACACTGTAAGCAAGCAACTTAACTACATGCATTTACATCTAAGCTTATTATAAAACTGCTTTTATATTTCACATCCAGAAGCAGGTATATACAAACTATGACCCATTTCATCCCAACATAGAAATGTTCACATCCTTGGGTACTTCACACTGGCTTTCCCATGTATACAAGATCCCAGGAAGCTCTTTGAGAATTATAGATGCCAACTACACTAATACAAAGCCTGCCTTGAAAAAAAGATGCTACCAAATATATCATTTTTTGAACTAGGTCTCCACAAACACCTGATAAAGCATAACACAGAGAACTTAACTGCACATTCCTTGTTTAATTGTTTTACATTCACACTGTTTTCGCCCATTAGAAATAGTTTATTTTCTACAATCGTTGCATAACATTTTTGCATGCAGTATGGTGAATGATAGAGGCACGTTCCAACAGAACTAGAACTGTTAAGAGAGTGAAAAACAATCAGTTTTCCCTCCGCAACAGTAAGTCTTACAACAAGATTAGCAACAAGCTTTACAACAAAGTACTTATTCTTTAAAGGAATACAGCAACAATTGAGCTGATTTTAACAGTTATTGTAAGGTGCCTCTATCAAACAGATTAATATTATTTTCATAGGACAGCCATTCAGAAACTTCTGGAGATGATGACAATATTTTCATAACTGTTTTCCAAAGCTTGAAACAACCTGCTCCTGCTGTTTTGGCTAGCACTAAACTGTTCTGAAATTGGTCTGTGATCTGCACTGCCATTGGATAGGGCAAGTCTTAACATACCCAAACTAGTCTGGTTAATTTTGAAAATCTTGAAATTGAACTGTCAGAGAACAAGAGCAGTGGTATATTTGTTTACTTTATTTCTATTTAATTGTGGATAATCAAAGATATTTCAAGCAATTTGCAGGCATGTATAGGCTAATAAAACTATTTCTAAGGCGATCCACATTTCCTTTACAGGAAAGAGTCCTGGCATATGCTGTAAGCATTATCAAGAGGACAAATAAAGGGAAATAGCATCCCTTAGAACAGATAAGTTCTTATAAGCCCACTATCAGTAAAGGTAGGTAATCAGTAAATAGAGTTGAACGAAATCTCCAAGAAAGTTTTTGTTGTTCTTAAAAAAAGAATGGAACTACATTTCAGATTCTTTTATGAAATACTAGCGTTGGTTTGCATGTTGCTCTTTTTCTCCATCAATTAAAATAGATTATTTCCACTTTTGATCAAGTTGTTACATATAGTCTAATTATTAGTGATAGAGCTCCCTTTTACATTGTAAGGTACATACTGTAGGCATAATCTTTTTACACTCAAAAGCAGTAGAAAGAAGCCTTCTTAAGAGTTCAACACGTTTCTCATTCTTCAATGGTCATTAACATGTTCACTACCCCTGAAAGAGCTGTCAAAATACCATCTCCAGTGAACCCTATATATTTAAAGGATGCTAACAGAGGAAAGATGACACAGGTCCATCCTTCCTTTCACAGCGTAAGAGTAAAAAGCAGCAAAAAATACAGGGAATGTTTTGCTAAACAGTCAAACACAGGAACAAAGCTGAGTATAATACATTTTTTTTCAGAATTTAGATGCATTTGTTTGTGTGATCTTCACAGTGCTTTGCTAACTTGCTTTTGTATTTCTGTGCTTCCAGAAAATCCAGAACCATTTTAAGCTACAGGTTTATTGTTGAAAGCTGCAGTTGTTATGCAAGGGACTCCCTAGGATTTATTTGTAGATAAATGGAAAAAGTTACGACAGTAGAAAAGTTGTAATATCCCCATGTGTCCATCTTTCAGTAGTTTCTTTTTCTGAAGAACTTCCAGGTTTGGGGCCTGAAAGAGATTACATGTTTTCCATCTGATTTGTCTACCTCTGTATTTAATTAGAGTTGTTGAGTTTTTGTTTGTTTTCTCTATTGAGCACTGAGCTCTGAAAATAGATTTTTTGGGTGGCTGTATTAACAGTTACTGCAGTACATCTAAAGGAGAGAACAGTTCTAGAAATGGGAGCATTATTAAACAGCTACAGTCAACACAGTCTAATATTTTTTATGCAACTTCTCATCATGTACTTATGGCCAGATTTAGATGAACACCAATGCTGCAATTTGGAAGAAAAACCTCACCCATCCAAGGTCAGAAGGGATAAAGAGACGTCTTGAGTTGAAAATGCAGATATTTCTGCTGGTCCTTATAGAAGATAGTCAAAGCAATAGCAAAGTATGTTGAAACAGCGATAAGACTACACCCTTATGAACATTCGTGGTCACTTGACACAATTGTGTCAAAATTTTCAAGCTCCCCAGGCAAACTGGCTATTCACTAGAAAATGCTAGGCAATGAGTTAAGGAAACTGTATAGCCACAGAAAAGGCAAAGCGCTCATAAAGAAGAAAAACAGGTTGGCACAATTATTCCAAAGGTAAATACTTGAGATTTTGTTTCAGTTAGGAGAAATGCTGCAAAACTGGAAGATCTAATTAACTATTGAAAGCACTTTTCACCAAAATACATACCTAAGACTACGATAACAGTCACCACTATCCTTATACTGAAAAACTAATGCTGTACCTGCTATTGACAGACCAAAATTTTCAGCCCTGGAAGCTACTAAACTGAAGCATCCAGACAATTGAAGGTCTTGAGCACTTAAAACTCCCATTAGAAGCAGTATACAACTTTGGACATCCAGGACTAAAAATTCTGTCAACATTTCGACAACAAATGCTCACACGTAACACAAAACATATAGAATGATAACTTGATGATCATAATCATAATGATCATCAATAATCATCATGATCATAATGGTAATCATAACTTCTTTTTTTTCCTTCCAGGAATCAAATGACATCTCCTGCAGGTAGGGGGCCTCCTTTTTAAGCTATTGAAATGCACGTATAGTATCCATTAGTAACTCAGGACTGATTTAGTATTCTCTTCAGAAAGCTCAAAGTTGTAAATCTAGATGTCAGGACTTAGTGTCAAAAGTGCTTTTGCAATGAATGTACTACTCAGATACAGTCTCAAAATACTTCATGAACTCTGAAATGGTTATCCAAGGAGGGAACTTCATCAGCAAAATGTATTTGATCATTTATTTCCACACCAAGTTCTTCAAGTATCTGTACAAATTTCTCATGCTCTCTCCCAATCCATGACCTCATTGTGTCAAACACTTGGTATGGAGTAACATGAGTGTGAACTTCAATTCCTGTCTGTGCAAGTTCTTTCAGCACTTCAGGGTAAGTAACCCAAGTATTGCTTCCTCCCGAGTGACCGCCATCCAACCAGTAAATTGCTTTTATGTTTTTTACAAAGGCATCTGTATTCTTGTCTTTTTTAGCTTCCTTCAGCTCATAAAGCAGCTGATTCAAAACCACACAACCTTTACTGAAGCCAATCAAAGTAAATGACACAGCGCCTACAGCAGATGGCATAACGAAGTCCATAGCAGAATTATTAGAGCATTCACAATCTCTCTCTCTTTCTGTGGATGAGCAGCCATTTGCTGTAGGTGGAGACTGCGGCTGTGATTTACAAGCAGATATTTTTGCATCCTTTCTGAAACCATGCACGGTTTTCTGGGACAGCAGAATATTCTGAGAGAACCTGAATGCATTAACTAGCAATGCATGGAGATGCTTGAAGGCTCCAAAGTCAGTGCTGTGCTCTGGTGCTCCAAACATGTTGCTAGCCACAAAGTTGTCATAACAACTGAATTTGTGCAGGTGCATTCGAGAACACTTCACGACCCAAATAAAGCTATTAGGGAATCGGCGAGCAAGTATGGTAGCAACATTTTCAAAGCTCCAATGCTCCCACTGAAAGTTTTCTGGGTGGCAAGACATGATGTCATAATAGTTCTGAAAAATTAGAAAACAGAAAAGACACATTACTACATTGTAAAAATAAATCAGCTCCGTCTAGCGTATATATTCATAAGGAAGGACCAAGGTGGAGAGAAATGTGCATAACGGAGGTGCTGTCTTGCTAGGCTCCCAGAAGAGGTGCATTAAAGAAACAGACATATTTACATTCACTTATTCTATTGTAGTATTTTGCGAGAGGTTTTTATATCCCCCAAATCAATGTAATAACAGCAAGTATGGGCTTAGTATGTAACAAGGAAGCTTAGTGTGGTACAGAATACATAATTACATGGTATTTTCTCCATCTGCAGAAACATTGATTGGCTTATAACAGGCAAACAATAGACTTAAAACATCAGTAGTAAGTTTTCTCATGAACCTCACCTCTGAACTCGTAATGGCAGCGAATACTAATTAGCTGCTTTTATTAAAGCCGAGACAAGCCATACCCAGGAATGCTACTCAGAAGGGTTTCCTCAGACCCCGCTAATCCTTGAAATGAAAGTCACACCCTCCCCGTTGTGCAGTTACGGCTGCCCGTGCGCTGGCCAGCCTCGTAGCCGTGCAACACCCCCGCTGGGTGCCCGCGGTACCCGCATGGCCGCTGCTCCCCCCGCTGCTCCCCCCGGGGCGCAGCGCCCGAGTGCCGGCAGCCCCACCGCCCCCGGCAGCGCCCACCCGAGGCCCGTCCCCAGGCGCTCCCCGCCCCGTGGGGCCGCTCCCCTCGGCGGCGGGCCGCCCCCGGCCCCGCCGTACCTGCACGTCCCCCGGGAAGTACACGACGTGATGCTGAGGCGCGGCCGGGCCGCGCGGGGCCGGCGGCAGCAAGAGCAGCAGCTCGTTGGCCCGCTGCGGCTCCGCGCCCGGCACCTCGGGCAGCCGCAGCCACGGTGGGCTCAGCCGCGCCGAGGACGAGGAGAAGCCGCTAGGCTCGGTGCCGGTGCCGCCCGCAGCCGGCGCCTCGCAGAGGCTCATGCTCCTGCCCAGGCTGAGGGCGGCGGGGCCGAGGAGCCCCCGCAGCAGGGAGGCAACGAGCGCCCGGCGGCTGCCGTTCATGGAGCCGCCGCCTCACGGCCGCCCACGGCACCGCCCGGCCCCGCGCCGCGCTTGCGCGCCGCCCCCTCGGCACTGCCCAGCGCCCCCTCAGGGAGCCAGCGGCACGGCGGCTGCACCGCAGCCTTCCACAGGAGCGTGGCGGGACGCGGCCGCCCGTTGTGCTTCCTCTGGAGGAGCCCTCCCGGGACAGGGCTGCGGGCGCCCATCGAGGCCCTCCTGCCTTTCACTCGCCCTGGTTCTGGGGCCCTAGCGCCCCCCAGCCTGGTTCTGCGGAGCGAGGGGTGGCTGAGGCGCTCCCCGTGAGCCCGCCACGTTGCTCTCCCCTCGTACACCGAGCTGAGGTGGCGGTGCCCAGCTGGTGGTCTGTCTGCGTAGCCTTAGCTTGAAAATAATGCTGGGTAAAAATTTCTGAGGGAAGATAGGACTTTATTAGCCTCTCAGTTTGATACTGTGACCGAAGGAAGTCTCCTGAGTGAAGTAAAGCCCTCCAGAGCATGCAGCTGAGACGCAGATTCAGCAGTGTGGGGTATCTTACATCCTATGTAGAGCAGTTTATTTCAAACCAAGGAGAGGTATGTGGACTCAGTTGTTTCCTAAAGGTGCTGGTTATATTTATCAGCGCAACCTAGGTGTATTTATTTGTATTTAATTTTACTAGCGTGATTATGAGGCAGAGGAAGCGGATTCTGTAAATAACCTGTTCCACTGTTTTCTTATGTTCCCAAGAAAAAGGGATTTTAATGGATAAACAGAATTTCCAGTGTTCCAAGTTGTGCCCATTGCCTTTTGCACTGTCACTGGACAACAAGTGGGAAGAACTGGATCGATGTTTTTTTATTCCCCCAGCAGGTGTTTATAACATGCATAGGATCTTCCTGAGCTTTCTCAATCCCAGCTCTCTCAGTTTCTCATATGATACATGCTCCCAGCCCTTAATCATTCTGGTAGCCTTTCACTGGACTTCCTCTGGTACATCCATGTTTCTTCTAGTGGAAAATCCCAAACTGAACACTATACTTCAGATGTAGCCTTACCAGCCCTGAGCAGAGGGGAAGGACCACCTCTTTCAACCTGTAGGTGAAGCTTGTCATAGCACAGCCCAGAATGCAGTTGGCCTTCTTTGCCATGATGGCATCTTGCATGTTGCGTATCATATACTTATCGCTTATATGGCATATTTGTCATAAATATGTATGTTATATATTCATCAGTTTCCTGTTGTGTACATAATCTAGGAAGTGTCAGTGCTTAATCAATTTACACAACTATCAGGATAACAGACTCCAAATACCCTATTAGAACCACAGAGTAAGTCAGGTGTAAGAATTTACATCACTTTTTGGTAGAGTTCTAGGCATGTTTAAAAATGATAAATAAATAAATAAAAATGAATGCCTAAATTAGCTCTGAAACGATTTTAATGAAGTTCTATTTTCCCCAAAAAGATAGTTGTGTCACTTGGCATGCCACCCATATATATTAGAAATCAAACTGCAAAGGTCCAAATCTTTCACATACTTGGAAAGATGCTTGGCTTTCCTATATTGAGCAGCAGTAGTAAAGTTAGATAAGAGACATCAGGTAAACTGTTATAAGTGTGGGACCTTATTTCACCCTTGCTTCTGTACAGTCTGTGCTATAGTGTTTGTTGCAGGAGGTTGGGCTGCACTGAAATTAGTGGGGCTCCATATTGAAGGAAGCTTCATTTAGGATGAAGAACTAGGGTTGGGGTTCCTAAAGATCTTGTTAGGCACTTGGGTATGTTGGGAGTGCATATTGTGCTTGGGGCCACCTACAAATCAAATCCTCATTTTCCTTCTAGTCAGAAGGTTTGTTTTGTTTTGTTTTGTTTTTGTACAGTTGTAGCATATTTTCTAGATTATTATTTTTTTCCCCTAAAGTTAGAATCTTAAAGTGGAAACTTTCACAGAACCTCTGCTAATAAAGCAAAATTATTATGGAAAAAATCCCTAGCTCCCTCTGTACAACTGCTTGTTCTAGTTCATGCAGGCAGTTTCTCTTAATCCAATTTTGAGCAGATCTGGTCTGTACTGACACTAAAACTTCTAACTAAAAGGGCTAATGAAACATTATTTCTGTGCCTTATTGGGTACTGTGCAAAGGAAATACAAGACCTGTTCAATATGTAAGTACAAGAAAAAACACAAGTGGCCTACTTTTCTCCTATGGAGTGGAAATTTTAATAAAATCAATCACAGAGGTAAAGCAACAATAATATTCCTGTGCTCTAAAAATGTAGCTGCTTTTATCTTGATTGCTGAGGTTTGTTTACACAGGCAGAGCTCTTACAATTATTGAAATACCCTGAAGTAGTAAGGATTCATCTAAGAAAACTAGTTAGGAGAACGAAAGTTTCCATTTTAGTAATTTTTGAGTAATGTGAATAATTACGTGTCAGTAGCATGAAAAATCTGTGTTCTTAACATCCTGTTGTTGATGTTCCCCCTTCTGTGTTTTCCAGGTGAGTGATTAGCTTTTCCACAAGAGTTTACAGACATTATTAACATTTTAATGGCAGTTACTAACACTAACAAAAGTTGATTGTGGTACTTCTGCCAGGTAATCCGTATACAGTTGGATGTTCATGATGCAGCTTTAAAGAGATAATTGCAGTTAATATATAAGGCGCTATACAGGCTTTCATCTTCACATCAAATGCTACATGAATCTTATGGAAGACCATAAAAGTTAGTTCGTATCTTAGGCAGAGTTCAGGTGCACAGAATAATAATGAAATAGGTTCTTTGTTATAGGAAATGACTGTATACATAACATGTTCACACTTAAAATGGAAAGCACCAACCTATTCATACCTTCAAGAAAACACTAGAAATTTCCCTTCCATGGCATGCTATAAATTTTAATGGTACATAGATTGCTCTGAGTTTACCTCTGATCTTAGTGATGTAGCTTTTGCAACACACAAGCAGCTTCAATGAATCTCAATTTCGTTCCTCAGTCAAAGGTGTAGAGGTGGTAATTTTTGCAGCTTAGGTTGCTTTGCTACTAAATAATTTATTAAATGAGTATGGGTTTAAAAGTGGAAAATGGGAGCAAATGCGAGGCTAGAAGATAAAACTTTTGTTTGTTTCAGGAAATACAAACATCTTCCTCAAGAGTGGACTTTGTTCAGCTGTGGGTTCTCTGTATACTTCAGAGGGCAGAAAAAGGATGATGAGCAAATGTGCTAATAAAGGTAAGGCTATCAAACTATTAAGTGTAAGTGACAGCTCTTCAGTATGGTATTTGCTAGAGTATGGGCTCTTACATTTTATAGGTAGGTTAGCATAACTTTTTTTCTTTTTTTTTTTGGAGATACTCCGTGCTTTTGTCTTACCCCTTTCTTTCCTGGTTTCTTTCCTGGTTCCTCCCAGTACGCTATTTCTGCAGGCATAAGCCTTCAAGCCTATTATGGTTCTTAATTTTTCTTACATCTGAAGTGAATGATAATTAGAATACGCTGAAGGCAGTAGTCACAACATGAGAAAATGCATCTTGTTCAGGATGTGAATGTGTGCTGATGTTTTTATGGCCTGTAGGAACACAGCTACAGTATTTTGTAACAGTTGTCATACCATGTCAATTTGTTACTGTACCAAGTGGTACGGTAACAAATAATCCTTCCAAATACAACATGACTGAGACATGAAATGCTACTTTGCAAGAGGCCTTTATCAGCCTTCATTTTTGTCCTGTTGTCTGTGGTGCCTCATTCCTACATTACTCTGTTTTCTTATCTTTTCTTTACAAATTGGTTTGCCATGCTCTGTATCACAATGTAAAAAAAAAGTTTTTATTTTATATTCTTCTTACTTCACATCTGTTCTTCTATCCCTGCAACAACCCTCACCATCTTCATATGTTGAATCATAATGAGCCATCACTGTGTTGCTAGCCTGTCCTGCATGCCTGCATTAGCTCAGTTCATTGGTTAGTTTTGCCACTTACTGTAAGTTAACAACGGAAGTCAGGAGCGTAGTTTTTCTTCATGATCCTGCGGGAGTCTAAACACAGATTTTGGGGATTTTGACAGAAAGAACGTGTATCATGGTTAATCAGCAGTGATGAGAGATGGGCATATCGAAATTCCTCTGGAGAGAACTAATGGCTTATTCTCCCCTCTAGTCTCCCAGAGCTCCTTAATAGACCTTTGTGAATGCCTACAGTCACAAATTAATTAGTTTCATCTTTCAGAGGCTATGACATCTGCAGTTTGAGTAGACAAAGTACCACTGCAGCAGTAAGCTTTCGTACAATCAATGTACTTTTACTGCAATCAGCTGTTTCATTGCACGTATAGCTCATACTAATTCTGTGCTTTCATTCAGAACATATTCAAACAGTAAAGAATACAATTTTGATTTTGTTTTCTCAGGCCACTAAAATATGTTGATTCTTTTTATTTATACCAATTAAATTAAAATATTTTAATAGGCACTTAACCAAAATTCTTGGTGAAGAAGAATTGTCTGGTGATGTGACAATACCTTTAGACAAGTACTAATATAAATGATTTTCTATCCATATGTAGCAACTGTAATATTTCATGGTACTTCAGAGATCTTCAAAAACATGCTTCCTATGTATGTGCAAGGTGCATGTATATGTATGTGTATTTGTATTACCTTTTATATTTGAATTTCCTTTCAAGCTTTTTTCAGCTCCAAGTGTGTTCAAACTGCTTGCTAGAAAGTTGGCAGATGATTGGAATAGGTATGGAAACACCTGTTAAATAGTGATAGGAAACTCCTTTGTAGTGGATTGCAGCTGTGTCTTTCACTGTTAAGAGAATGTGCCAAGCCTGGCTTCATTCAAACTCATTCTTTCAGGTGTAGTAACACTTTAAAGGAGTGAGTTATGTGTGTCTGTGGTGGTGTGCACAGAGGAATTCCCAGTGGCTATACAGTGATGGATGGCAAGGTCTTGACTCATAGTTTTATTAACATATTAGTGGCAACAGTTCAAACCAAATTACATCTATTATGCTCCATTACAAGTACTAAACAACTTACATCTGTTGAAATTCCTACAGGCAGCTCTGCCTGCCAGCAGCCATCTTTTGTGCGTGTAAGGGTATTCAGGAGAGCATAGGGGAGAATAAATTATACAATCAACAATTTACTGAGTTGTATGAAAGTGTGAGTAAAAGCTTTTCAGCATGAAAAATAAATCCATTTTCTTTTTCTATCTGAGCTGTGTTGAGAATCTTCTAAAATTGCAGGTTATATGATCTCATTTCTGTTTTTTCACTGCTGACAAAAATTAGTATAAAGAATTAAGAACTACTGATGTTGTTTAATAATCTGTTTCTCTTGTGCTATTTTTCTGTGGAAATTGGTTTTATTTAATCATACAATCTGCCTATACTACAGATGATCTGCATAATCTGTCAATTCCTCCCAATAGCCTTTTAGACTACTTCAAGAACGGGGGTTTTAGAGCAAATACCTGTGGGCGTGGGGAGAACTGCTGAATCAATAAATGAGGGTGACTGAAATGAATGCCCTTACAGAAGGGAAGTTGTGAAGAGCTTGGTCTTTGTACATCATGTTTGGAAGCAATTGCCTGAAAATTCAGTATGTGTTGGCTCCACATGTAGCCAGCATACGCTGTCTGTTGCCTAGTCTGGTTCATAGAGGATGTGGTGGGTAGGAAAGGCTGTTAAATTAAAAGTTAACTGTTAAAAGTTAAATTACGTTAACGCAAGTAGTTAGGACAAGGTTTAGGACAAAGGACATGAGTCTATTTAAAAAAAAAAAAAAGTTTTGGTAGTTCTGCTGTTCATGGAACATCTAGTTAAATGACAATTTCTGTGCATTGCAATTTGTATAGGTATACAAGAAGAACTTGTAATTTAAGGAAACTGTAAACTGTATGGTATAAATTGATATAAGTTTGGAAATCTAGTTGGTATTTAAAAGAACACAAAGTGGCCCAGGAAGTGGAGTAGAAGATTTTATTGATTAAAATGGGCCCAAGCTCAACCTCTCATCATTCCTGCAGTCTGAGGTTAGTCTGGCAGTGAAATTATGAAATTCTAGCTTGTGCATGCCTGCTTCTCAATTTCCATTCTCTCTTCGTTTCCTTAATAATCTGGCTTTGTGGATGGGTTCTGCTATGTATTCAACATGAGACTAATTTATCTCAGGAAAAAAAAAAAAAAAGGCACAAGCAGTTGTTACTCCACCAAGCATTTTACTTAGATAATGGAAATAACTAAGTATGTGAATGTTTGCATCTTAGTAGGATTGTCTGAGACTGATATATTCATTAAACTAGTTTTCTAGTGGTTTCAGTTTAATAGTAAATAGGCATTATAGCCCATATAATAAACGTGTAAGATCTGTATCATTTTCTCTGGCTGTCTGAAACAATAATTTTTATATGTTAAATGTATTTCGAATATACTTATTTGACTTCCTTTGTGGGATATAAGATTGTAAGTCAATGCACTAAGTACATATGCTTTTCAGAGACATTTTTGACACCTCTTTATTTCAGTTTGTGTAAGTGTTGGTTTCTCTGCATGCATAACAAGTTCAAGTTGCGGTCTAAAAACTGAGCTTTGGACCCTGTATGAATCTCTGTAGTAGAAGGCCCTGAAATTCTTTCAAAAATCTTATCTGCCTAAACTTACACATAAGAATATGGCTTTGCTTTGGAGACTTTATCTTGTAGTGTCATCATTTAGCTATTGTAGAGAATGTTACAGCATGTACTGATGAACAAATAATTTCATTATAAATAACCCCGTGTTTAATAGCTCTTTAAACTAAGGAGGGATTACAGTGAAACAGGCAAACTGGGATGCAATATTAGTAAAGGTGTAATGACCCAAATTGCATTTTCTGTTGAAATACTATTTCAGGTTGCTCCATTTAGATCTGTATACTAAACTTTAGACTCATTGAATTTGCAGGAAACTTTGCACTGATTTTAGTGGAAGTAGAGTTTTAGCTATAGTATGCAACACTACTAGGAATTTCTGTGACTTCCCATTGAATACCTGACTCATGGTTTTTTGATATTAATGCTGTTGCTAGCTTTAATTTTTTGTGTGAATGATTAATTTTTTTATTGTTTTACTTATGTCTGCTAAAAACAGCTTAGCTGGAAAAGCTTTAACACCTGGTTTAGTAGTATCCCTCTGACTAAAGTTCAGGTGAACATTTAGGGTAGAGTAACAGATTTTGGGATGCAGAGGCTGCTAATGTACCTAACTGGCCAACAGCAGATGGGTAAGATGCAAGATGTTTTAGAGAATGCAGAATAATACAAGGTCCATATGATACAGGGTATGTATATACTTGAAGGTAAAGAAGTTTACTTAGTTAGTCTACTGTAATCAGAGCACTTTAAAACTAGATTATGAATAGAGTTCTCTTATTAATTCTTCTTCAGCACTTCCTTCCCAAAGCAGATCTACCTACTTTGATGATCGATCCTATTGACTTGTGCTATTAGATTTTGCTTCTGAGTGGTACTAAGGCTCTGTCCTAGATCTAGCAATGATTTAGCAGTTGCTTTTAAGTACATGAAGTCCTACTGATATCCAGAGCTCAGTCACTAATTCCAGATAAAAATCCTTCTACTGAAGGAACATGAATGATTTAAAGAATTATTTCCTAGTTACCACTGTTAACTAGGCCTACGGTGCATAGTATTGTGCCTAATAAAGGTTTTACCATGCTTGTAATTCAAATTCAGGTTGCATAGTTTCATGGAAGCTAGCACTCATTACATGAACAAGATAGCCTGTCTTCCATGCAGGTAGAGGTTTTAAGTTAGCATAAGTTATGAGAGTTCAAGAATAAAAGCTTAATAATAAGAATCATATATAATTTTATAATAATGAAAAGGCTAAGTTTTTCTTAAAAGTATATGTTATTGAAGTGTCATACTTGCTACAGCAGTAGCTTCTCACCGTTGCATAACGAATGGGTTTGTCCCCCAGTAGAACTATTAGCATTTATCAATGTAATACATCCTGGTTCAATGTGGTGACGTAGGTCATCCAGTGGATTCATTAATTCCTTACTGTTTCACAAAGATTGATCTTACCTGAGTACTCTTTCTGCTCCACAAACACTGTTTTTGTTTTTTTTTTCCTGTCAAGGTAACAGAAATAATTAGGTCAAAATAAGAGACACGATTTCTAATATGCTTTTAACTTCCAGTTTGCTGCTGCTTTGTCATGTCTGTTACAAATACTTTTACTGAAGTCCATTCTGTTTAAGTATAGTCATATTTTCCACTGGAAACGTGGATAGCAACTGTGGAATAAGCCCCCCACACAAACAAACAAACAAAGATTTTCACGATAAATGCATAAACAAGCTCATGAGTGATTTTGAGTGCTTAACTAGCAATAATTGAAGAGTTTGACTTCTTAATGTTACTCTAGTAGCTGGTAACTCAGATACATTTCATATAGCATGATATGATTACTCCAAAATTAAACCATCAAAAACCATTTGTAATATTTCAAAGATACGGCTGTGAAGAGATGTAAATTATTCTGAAGTAAAACTTCAGAATTCAAAGTTTGATGCAAATATTCCTTTCTGAGAAAAAATGATCTCATAAATCTCCACTGAAATCATGCTCATTAGAAAACCATGAAAACTTTGTGGTTTTCATCTCCTTGTGTTTCATAATTTCCAATTGCCAGAAAAGCTAACACTGAACAAAGGCTGATGCATTTTTTTTGACAGCTTTCACTGAAGCAAGTGAAAAGCAGCATAATTCATAGGAACAGCTTATAGGGAGATACTGAGTGTTGTCATAGTTGTTACCACACAGCTGATCTCAAGGCTTGTATTACCCAGCTTCAAGGGCTAGATGCATTTTGTGTCAGACCTTATTATAGAAGTAACATACAGGGTAGTGGAGTTCTTATCAGAAGACATGATAATTGAAGAGTAATAAGCAAATATTCCTTTGTGAATATTTGTGATGTGTGACTCAAACTTCTAAGTGCCAGTCCTTTATGGCAGTACTGGGTTTTCTGTAGTTTTATTTCATATGGCTAAAGTTATCCTATCTGCATGTTACCTTAATTTGTGATCTTTCAATTTAAGTATTGATATCTGTAGTTGGTATTAAAACATTCTTCTAAAACTAACCTGATCAAGAACAATTGCTGTGATCTCCTGGACACTTGTGCTATTCTGTTTCTTCATAAGAGAAGCAGAATGTAGCTTTTACCTCCAGTTCCCTAGCTTAACCAAATATAGGAAAGAAAAATACAAAGTGAACTGTTGGATCCATCTGAAGTATATGCTGTTAATCATGCCAGTACTTTTCCCAGGGCCCTGGCTTGTGTGGTGTTCTCCGAGGCTGCATTGTCAGAGTTCAAGTGAAGTTTTATAAAAGCATCTTTCCTTTTCAATGAAAATGATTCTACAACAAATTTAGTCAGCAGCTAAGACTTCCCAAATTCTGTTGAATGAAAAGTAAAAAGAACAGCATGTGAGATGCACAGATGGCAAAGATACAATTTGGAGCAAGCAATTCTGCTTCTCCCTCTCTTCTTACACTGTGAACAGTCTCTTTTTTCTCCATCCTATTTGTTGTTCAGAACTATTCATCAAATAGCTGTGGGCGTTTGTTCGTGGTATTTTTCTGTACTTAAGTGATCGACTGCATATATTTGACAACTCAGATTCTTTTGGTTGGATGCTTAGTCACATGATTTGTTTCCTTTCCCTGACTTGATAGTCTTTTTTTTCTATTGATTAAGACTTTCCAAATAAATGTTCAGTTTCTAAATTATCTGCCAATAATTTTTTGTACTTATAAAATTCCTTGTTCTCATCACTTTCACTGATACATTGGAGTACTGGAGTATCTATAAACAACTTCCATGCCCTGAGATTGAGATTTTTTGTTTCTATTTTTCCATTCTTTATCTGAATTTGAAAGAGAACGGGGATGAGTGAGGGTGGAGCAGGGTATTGTATTTGTGTCATTTTAGATTACCTTCTCTAGCTGTGTAAAAAAAAAAAATAAAATAAAATTTAGAGAAGGTCATTTGCACTCTTAAAATGAAATGTTTCCAAAGGAAACATTTTTTCTTCTGGAGTGTGTTCTAGTCCTGCAAAACATTGTTAGGCAAGCAGTCTGTCTTTCTGTTCTAAACCGTTTCCCTCTCATGAAACACTTGTAAATTGGAGTAACTTTATCTGAATACTTAAGATTAAAATGTCTTTTGTAATATTTGCTTCAAATATTGCTGTTATGTATTCTGTTACATGTATGTTGTCTGCATTCTTCACATCTGCCACTGCAGAGTTTTCTGCAAAAACACTAAGCTCTGATATAAAAGGTGAGGACTACCTCTACTTTCTTTTGAGTTAGCTGGAGCTTAGACCACTCATGTGCTTTTGTAGAGCACTGCAGAATGAAAAGTACCATGCTATCACTATTTATTCTTTGGATAGTCAAAAGTCAGTGACTTTGTAGGCTTTGAAGTCTACAATTTCAGTAAAGTGCATGGTAATGTATTGGTTTTAAAAAATGGTTTATATACAGCTTTATACTAGGTCAGTGGGATGATAAATGTTCTATATAAGAAGTGCCAAAATGCCTACATGGTATTCTGGGAGATTCATAATAGCAAGCCTAAACATACAGCTATCTTGCAGGAAGAAATGCTTTGCACAGTTTTGTGGATATATTTTATCCAAGCAGAGTTGGCTGCATACTGACACTTACGTCTGGGGAGGATGGAAGGTGGTCTTTTCATGTTGGCCCTTCTGGTGAAATTTGGTCATACAAGCAGTTTCTGGAGTGTGTTGCGGTTGCACGATAGGTTGCTTGAGAACATGACACAGTACTGGGGTTTCTTATTTTTTATCATGTGTAGACGAGTAAACACTCATTTTGATATGGTGCTTGATTTTGCTTGAAATTTTACTGTATTTTGGTATTAAACTCTGGTTTTGATATTACTTTGAGGGCTAAGGTGGTGTAAAGCAGCAACCTTTTTGGTGAAATGGTTTCACTTTCTTCCACGCAATACAGCATCTTTCCTTTATCCTTCAGGAGTCTTTACAGGTTTCTCTTCTGTATTTCAGGATGAGATTTCCCCCCATCTATTACTGTGATTGATAATTTGAAGTGCATTGTGGAGTGAGGAAGAAGCTGTTGACAAGCATTGAGTACAGTCCTGTATTTCTGATCCATGAGTTCGGAGCAGATTGACAGAAGTCAAAGAAAATGATATAGAAGCACACTGTCTTAATTAAACATAAGCCTTTACTTGCTGTTGTGACAGAAGCTTTACTACATCAAACTTCAAAAATTGCTTTAGTAGTAATAGAAGAAATCATGGTTCGAAGACAAAGAGGAATGCTGTTCACATTCATATTTTACATATTGTTTACATTTTATACTATTGCTTGTGACAGTAGAGCATTAAGGCCTGAACCACAGAAGCAAAGTTTGTCTATAGAGGGTATAGTGGTGGTAGAAGAAAAATGCATGTCAGGCTTAAACATCTTATTTTAACTCTGGATAGTAGTGAGATGACTTGGTTGTAATAGATCCTGTGTTTTAAGTACTCTGGTTGTTGTTACTCAGTTTAGTGATTCTTCAGATTTCCTCTGCTGAATCTTCTTTCTTTTCAGATGTTTTAATCTTATCCACACATCCAAAATACTCTGTAATAGAAATTGTCATTATAGGCCTGTTTCCAATGTTACAGTAATGCAACTTGAGCAACTGTTGATTTTACTGGTTTGTAAAATGAGACCAGACCTGAGTCACTACTTCATGTTGTTTTTCAATATGGTATTTCATTTTAGGAAATACAAGAGTGCTGGTAGCCCTCGAGCACCTATTTGGAGGGAGGTGAATCTATTTACCCTCTCCTTGTGAGAATTTTTCTATTACATCACCTTTTTGGTGGAAATAATTTCATCCAAATTATTCTTCGTGGAAAATACTTAGAAAATTTCATTGACAAGAGTTGTTTGTTTGTTTGTTTGTTTGTTTTAAAAAGCCAAACAACTTTCCTCTACAATTAGAATGATTCCTTTCTTGTGTTTTACTTAAAACTGGAACTCATCCCATGGGTTTGCATCAAGTTCAACATTCTAGGAGTAAGCATTTAGAATTAGAGAAGCTCACAAGCTTTTTTTTTTTTTTTTTTTTTTTTCTTTTTTTTTAAACTTGAACTTTGTCACCTAGTTTTCCACTTACCTGTTTTGTTCATGTCATTGAATTGACTTTTTCCTCCTGATTTATCTCTGCAGATCAGCATTTGGGTTATTTTTGACTATGTCTGTCTTCACTGAGATTGTGGAAATCAGGGTCTGCTCCTCTTCATTCTGGTCATTCATTGTATGTTTTCCTTTCCAGCACTGAATAGCACCGAACACTTAATCAGGGTGTGGGAAAGTGGAGTGGCATGTAATTTCAGTTATAGCACAGACTGCAATATAAGACCCATGTCTGCTTTGTCTGTTAGATTGATTCATATATCTGTATGGATTTCTGATTAGCTTTAGCCTCTCTCACAGTATGCATTTTCAGGATTGCAAAATTCTGTCAATATTCTGTAGTTTCTGCTTTTAAGGAGCTGTTATTTTTTTTCACCGCTACATGAGAGGGCAGCAGCTGGCTACTAATGCGTGCATCTCACGGCATTCTCTTTTGTTCTCAGCTTGCCACCTGGTGGCGAAATATGGAACGGTGCTTACAGGAGCACAGTGGACTAAGTCCTGACTGTTCACCAAACCCAGGCTCTGTTTCCACGTGAATCCTTTTATTTTAAATACCACAAGAATTTTCATAGGGGTCCAATGTTAAAATACTTGGTTTTGTGCTCTGTATCAGAAGTTTGAGGCTAACTCTGCTTTTGCTGAAGTAAACAGTAAAACTTGTATTTTTTGTGCATGTTGTACGCATTAGAAGTAAATATTAATTGTTTGTGTTTTTAACAACTTCAGTGTTGTTATAAAGTGGTCACGTTAAATCTTTTCTCCTTTTTAAACATTTTGTTGTTTGGCATTTTTAGAGTTTTATTACAGGATTCTATTTTTACATAATTTTCAGCAGTTATTTAACCAGGGAAATAAGATACGTATATATATCCTTAGTTTTTAAATGGCTTTTTGATGTATTACTTCTTGAATAATGCTGGCATTATTCCTCTTGCTGAAGGACACCATTATTGAGGCAGTTATATTATGAGTTTTAAGGAGCTTAAGATTAGAGTTTAAGATTACTTGTAGTAAATACATACTTATCTGATTGAATTAAAAATAAAGCACTATGTAGATTTCTTTCCAATGTTTTTATAAGTAAGATTGTATTCTTTAAAATTTTACTGTAATGAATAATTTGTATTTCATGACAATAGAAGTTGAACTTCTATTTTTGTATATGTATAAATATGAAGCATATGGATATATGTACAAATATTCAAATATGCATCCTTCAGTGAAAATGATTACTTCATTGTATGCTCAGAAATGCTGCCTTCACTTAATGCTGTTTTGCTGTTGGTTCTGTCATGATGCTTAATTTTTAATGAAATTAAAATGCGCTTCTTCATTTATTCTTGGGCCCTTTCGCATTCAGTTCCTCAAGGAATTGTGCAAGGGCAACATTAGGTTTGCATTAGTGTTATTTTTCAGATCATGCACATTTTGCAGTCATTGAGGGTTCAAAGCCCATGACAATTTAAATAAGGTGGCTGTTTAAATTGTAGACCTGAGAGCTTTTCAATTTTTAATGTTTGTCTTCCGAATAAGAAGATTCTGGTATAATTTAAGATGCTTTATTGAATGGAACACAGTGAACTGCTCACGATGAAGCAGGCCTTACTGAGGTCGCCTTGGCAGTGGGGTTGATGGGATTCATGCCAGTTAATCAGTCTAAGTATATGAATCAGAATATCCAGTTGTGCACTGACACCTGGACACTGGCTTTGAATAACTTTTGGTTAGAGATACCTGATAATTGCATACCAGTTATCAGGTGGGTTTTGTGTTTATCAGCAATGACTGCCAGAAGGTCATTTACTCCTCCAAAGAATGTAGCCAGCTGTGAATCTCTTAGATTTGTGTAAGCAAGGCTACAGTTGCTTCCCAAAGTACTTAAAAGCATCTTCAACATGCAAAATAACTTCATAGTCCCACAAACTGATTAAGCTGACAGGAACAAATGCTGCAGTTCAAAGTAATCATACTTTCCCCCATCTGGTCATTTCAGCCATTTTGCTCTCCCTTGCTCTATTCCAACTCAGTGGTTTATAAACATGGTAAATTAGGTCAGAGTCTAAGCCATTTTTTGTAAATGGTGAATTGATTGATGACAATACAAAAGAAGCTAGAGAAAAGCTTCTAGCCTGAATGGTTGAGTGATGAGTTGACTTCATCATGTAAAGATGGTGAAATAGCCAAATTTTGAGTCACTTATGTAATCGCCAGCCTCTTAGGAACATATGATTAAACAGTACTAATGTCACTCTTAAGGAGATATTTATTAGATAACTCATCTAAATGATTTTTCAGTAAGTGCATACAATAGCTGGTGATTCAGTTTAATGGTGCAACTTCTTAATATTCATATGGTTAAGTCAGTGCCCATGGAAGCTGTGTGTAAAACTGTCACCTTAAGCATCTACTTCTGGCTAGAAAGATCCAATTTTACTTGACCTCTCAAATGAGCAACAGCAAATTTGACTTTTGAGTTCTGTTTTCTCTTATTTCTTGGGGGGGGAGATAAGGATAAAGATACATGATACAATGAAAACATTGCACATCTTAGTTTTATTGGCCATATTTTTCCAGTATCCTTCCAAGTAATGAAAGAACACTGGTGTAACACCTAATGTGTCAAAGATCAAGTGACAAAACTGCCTAGTTTGGTGGAACACAAATAACTGTTAAGGGAATAGCTCTTCGTTTTCACTTTTACTGGCTGAATAATATAGTCATCTTTTTGATGCCAATACCAACTGCTAGCTGTGCTTTTTATTGGGTGACAGTGCAGCAAGCCTTCATTTTGAAAAGGTCTGAATCACCTGCAAGTCTAGTTTACATCCTAGAATAAATTTCAAAAGCGATTCAAGATGAAAGCTTGCCATTTGTTGGGCTGTAGCCTGAAGAATAAAGAAAATGTTATGTTGCACAGAGATGGAGAATAGTATGAGAAAGCTAAAATGCCACTGTAGAAAACTAAGACTTGGGTTTACTTGAACTGCCATGATCTGGTTACCAGTTTGCAAGAAAAGCTGGTGCAGCAAAACTACACTTTTCTCATCAGTCAATTCACTTCATTCTTTACTGTTATCTGGTCTGACACAATTCCATTTCTTAAAGTTTTTGTATGTAATGTGTGTGTATATTTGTATATTATATTCAAATGCGCATATTTAGTATATTTTTATATATAAAAGCATACATATTAAATATTATTTATGGCTTGTTTAGCCTAGTAAAGTGAAAAGAAAGTGATAGCTTTAAATATGGAGGAACTAGAGGTGGGATAAATACCAAAAAAAAAAAAAAAAAAAGAAGTTACTTAAACTGAAATGATGGCAAAGAGCAAAAAGACATACTATGGTTATAAATAAGTTCCAGTAAGAACTTAGTCTACAAACTATCATTAAAGTGAGTCTTTAGAATTGTGTTTTGTAATTCTAAGAGAAAGAAAAGGAACAAGGAAACCACGCTAGTTTTAATTCAGAATTTGATAAATTTGAGTGGAATCAAAGATTAGATCAGCCACAGACTGGATATGTAACCTAGGAGGTCTTCTCCCCGGTCTGCTATCACTAAATGAATTGTTTTGCGTACTACAATATGACACAAAAGTAATATAAATTTCACATTAAATACAGTGATGCTCTTAAATGTGTTAATATAACATGTTAAATGACCATATCTCTTTACATTTTAATTTTAGCACATTTATTTTGATAGTACATAAGAACTCTTAGAACCGCTATGTAAAACTGCTTTGCAAGTTGCCATAGCAATTAAATTGTGGAGTTCAACAATGTTTCTTCCTTTGTCTTAACTCTGCTGTATGATTTTTTTCAAAATCAAGCCAATATTTCACATTTTCTTCTCATTTTTCTGACTAGTTGAATAGCAGGTACAAATCATGTTGAATTTTGATTTGTGCTCCGTGCCTTATCTGTGCTAAAATGTATCACCTGTTTCAATTTTCTAATTTTGGTTCTTCCTGTATACTTAGCTTGCTCATACAGACTGCAAACAACACAGGGCAAAGCCAATGATTTCAAAGTATCTCTGACAACCTGGGTATCTGTTCTTCTGTTTTAAACATTGTCCCTCTATGTGGCTCCATTTAATGCTTCTAAGCTAAAAATAATAACTGGGAGGGTCTTTTTCCCCTTTCTGCTTTGCTGTTGATCTTTAAAATTATGAACTCAGGCAGAACATAAGGAAGCTGTGCTAAGACTTTTTGCTTATTATATTTCTCCCCAGAGGCCACAAATTAGCACGCAATAAGAGAGCTCCTCTCCTGGAGTATTTTCAAATCAAAAATGTATGACTGCGGGAGGGAGAAAAGAGTGATAACTGCCATTTGATGGAGGAGGATCTGAAACACCAAGGATTATATTCAGTATTTCTTCTATAGTGACCAAGTTGAAGAGCTTTTCCTCAGTTCAAGATAGCTTCTATTTCTGGTCTTTGTACTCTTGTTCATTGAGACCTGTGATGTGGAGAAAGTCATTGTAGTATGAGTGGGACATAAGCTATGTTGGAGTATGGCCCAAAGCAGTTAGCAGTTAAAGGGGGGAGGCAGTGAGAACTTAGACTTGGTGGGGGGGGCAACAACTAGAAATTCTCAAGCTTCCCACAGAAAGGGAATTCTAGAAAATTAACATTCTTGAAGGCCCTGTAAATAAAATATAATTTGTTCTTTTGTTACTGAAATGGAGCAGACAGCTGCCCTCAACTCCTGGGAGGCATCCTGTGAAATACCCCTACATTAAACAGGTCCCTATAACAAATCTATGAATCTTGAAGAGTCAGGTAAATTGCCAGGGAAGTAACCAGTGTCACAGCAGAATTTTGTTGAATGTTTTCCATGAAACATTTTTATGAATCAGTATTTTCCATCAAAAATCCATTCAATGAGAAAATTTCCACCTATAATTAATTACCAGTTGTAACTAGATTTCAAAAGGCCATTGTAGAAGACTGTCAAAGGTGAGAACTGAAACAAAACCTCTCTGGGTGATTACATTACTGTCAAGACTAATTCCAAACTTCTGAAAATGAGTAAATAACTGTTGTGGAGTAAAGAGCTGCACACAGTGTTCAAGGTAAGGCCATACTAATATATAATATGGTATGAGAATTGCCTCTTTTGAGCAGCTGGTGTTTAATGCATCCTAAAATGCCGTTTACCCTCCTGGCTATCAGGGCATGCTGCTGACTCACGTTGAGCCTGTTGTCAACCAGATTTGATAGATTTTCTGTAGGAAGATTATATCTTTTAAGTGACAACAGAACTGTCATCTTGTTTTCTAATAAGCTACTGTGTATTAGCTTGTTGGTTTTTTCCTGTAAGATAAAAATACTTCATGTTCTGAGTTTTGATTTGGAGATGCTTCCTTCCATTGAAGTGGGAGCCTGTCTGAGGTAGCTTCCTTGTGTTCTTGAAGACCCACATCTCTAGCTGAAATTGGTCAGGTGCCATTTCTTCATCATCTTTACTGGGCGATATTGCTATCTATTTGGCATGTCTGTGGACCCTTTTTTGGCTGTGGGAAAAATGGCTGCACTTTGTGCTGCATTCCTGATCCAGTCAGAAATAACATTTTTTTTTTTCCTGTTATGAATCTCAAGAGCTTGATTTATGTGGTTTCTGGCATAAACATTTCCAACTGTTTACATCATGGGCCTTTGATCAGTTGCATCGATAAGGCAATGCCCTAGAGCCTGTCTTGGACTGAGTAAGCTCTGGGTCTAGCCAGTGTTTGTTTCCTGGATGATGCCCTCAGAAGGAAGATTAACTTTCACAAACCTCAAATCCTAAGCAAGATAGTTTAATACACCTTCCCCTGCTTGAGAAAACAGGTAGGGAAAGGCACATAGTTATTTCTTTCTGGAGGGCTTTATCGCAAGGCCTTTGGCTCAAACTGGGATTCTTGGAGACTTAAGAGCAAAAGGTTTTGTGATCTCTGATGGACCTTCATAAATTTAAAAACTTCTGATCTTGAATGTGAAAACTTAATGTTCTCTTATTTAAAAGGTTACTTGTTTATCATTGATTTTCTGAAGTTAATATTTTGACTGTAAGTTACCTGCAGTGCATATGAAGTTTTTTTTCCTAATGGCTTACAGTACAGGTGCTGAGTGTTGTAAATATTGAAGTGATATGAAAAGAAATAAGGAAGAATTTCAAGAGAATCATGTACATTACTTTACCAGGAATCAGTAGAATAACTCCTGTTCTTATTGATGGTATTTAGAGAATTGGGCTGCAGCTGGAAATGCGACTAGTCATCTCCAGTTGTCTTAATCTCTCTGCCTACAGCAGACTACAGCAGCCTACGCTTGTCCTTACTTCTTT